ACGGGGAATGGAGTGGGCATTCACTGGGAATGGACTGGGAGGGACTGGGAGGGACTGGGATGGACTTGGAGGGACTGGGAGGGACTGGGAATGGACTGGGAGGGACTGGGAGGGACTGGGAGGGACTGGGATGGACTGGGAGGGACTGGGATGGACTGGGAGGGACTGGGTAAGCTGGGATGGGACTGGGATAAACTGGGATGGACTGGGAGGGACTGGGAATGGATTGGGATGGACTGGGATAAACTGGGAATGGACTGAGAGGGAACTGGGATAAACTGGGAATGGACTGAGAGGGAACTGGGAGGGAACTGGGAATGGATTGGGAAGGACTGGGAGGGACTGGGATGAACTGGGAATGGACTCAGAGGGAACAGGGAGGGAACTGGGAATGAACTGGGATGAACTGGGAGTGAACTGGGAATGGACTGGCAGGAAACTGGGTTGTACTGGGACTGGGAGGGAACTGGGAGGGAACTGGGAATGGACTGGGAGGGACGGGGAGGGACTGGGATGGACTGGGAGGGACGGGGAGGGACTGGGATGGACTGGGAGGGACGGGGAGGGACTGGGATGGACTGGGAGGGACGGGGAGGGACTGGGATGGACTGGGAGGGACGGGGAGGGACTGGGATGGACTGGGAGGGACGGGGAGGGACTGGGATGGACTGGGAGGGACGGGGAGGGACTGGGATGGACTGGGAGGGACGGGGAGGGACTGGGATGGACTGGGAGGGACGGGGAGGGACTGGGATGGACTGGGAGGGACGGGGAGGGACTGGGATGGACTGGGAGGGACGGGGAGGGACTGGGATGGACTGGGAGGGACGGGGAGGGACTGGGATGGACTGGGAGGGACGGGGAGGGACTGGGATGGACTGGGAGGGACGGGGAGGGACTGGGATGGACTGGGAGGGACGGGGAGGGACTGGGATGGACTGGGAGGGACGGGGAGGGACTGGGATGGACTGGGAGGGACGGGGAGGGACTGGGATGGACTGGGAGGGACGGGGAGGGACTGGGATGGACTGGGAGGGACGGGGAGGGACTGGGATGGACTGGGAGGGACGGGGAGGGACTGGGATGGACTGGGAGGGACGGGGAGGGACTGGGATGGACTGGGAGGGACTGGGATGAACTGGGAATGGACTGGCAGGAAAGTGGGTTGTACTGGGACTGGGAGGGACCGGGAGGGACTGGGATAAACTGGGATAAACTGGGAATGGACTGGGATAAAGTGGAATGGACTGGGAGGAAACTGGGATGAACTGGGAATGGACTGGGAGGAAACTGGGATGAACTGGGAATGGACTGGGAGGGAACTGGGTTGTACTGGGAGGGACTGGGAGGGAACTGGGAGGAACTGGGATCCCTCCCTGTATGATCCCAGTTCCCTCCCAGTATAAACCAGTCCCAAACCAATACAAACCAGTATAATCCAGTCCAAACCAGTATAAACCAGTACCGAGATCTTGGTGCTGACGTAGGCCCCCAGGGACAGCAGCACCAGCTAGAGCCGGTGCTCCCAGTCCTTCCCAGTATAAACCAGTATAACCCAGCGACCTCCCAGTATAAACCAATACAAACCAATATAAACCAGTTTAAACCATTATAAACCAGTTAAAACCAGTTTAAACCAGTATAAACCAGTTTAAACCAGTCTCAGTCCATTCCCAGTCCCTTCCAATTCCCTTCCAGTCCCTCCCAGTTCCCTTCCCGGTTCCTCCCAGTCCAAACCAATATAAACCAGTTTAAACCATTATAAACCAGTTAAAACCAGTATAAACCAGTAAAAACCCATCCCAGTTCCATCCCAATTCCCTCCCATTCCCTCCCCCTCTCAAACCAGTACAACCCAATCCCTCCCGGCTCCCTCCCAGTCCAAACCAGTATAAACCAGTATAAACCAGTATAAACCAGTTTAAACCCTTATAAACCAGTTTAAATCAATTTAAACCATTATAAACCAGTTTAAACCAGCATAAACGAGTAAAAACCCATCCCAATTCCCTTCCAGTCCCTCCCAGTTCCCTTCCCAGTCCCTCCCAGTTTAAACCATTATAAACCAGTTTAAACCAGTATAAACCAGTTAAAACCATTATAAACCAGTTTTAACCAGTATAAACCAGTTAAAACCAGTTTAAACCATAATAAACCAGTTTAAACCAGTTTAAAGCAGTCTCAGTCCATTCCCCCAATTCCCTCCCCCTCTCAAACCAGTACAACCCAGTCCCTCCCGGCTCCCTCCCAGTCCAAACCAGTATAAACCAGTCCAAACCAGTATAAACCAGTATAAACCAGTATAAACCAGTACCGAGATCTTGGTGCTGACGTAGAGCCCCAGGGACAGCAGCGCCAGGTAGAGCCGGATCCGCCCCCCCCCGAAGCGCCGGCCCAGGTATTCCGGCATGGTGCTCACCTGGACACGCCCACACGGGCCACGCCCACTCAGGACACGCCCACAACCCATTAGGCCACGCCCAGTTAGGCCATAACTGGTTAGGCCATGCCCAATTTGCATTTGTGCCACGCCCATTTTGACCCAGTCCTGTTAGGCCACGCCCATTTAAGCCACACCCATGTCTGGACCAATTTAGACCACACCCCTTCAAGCCACGCCCACACCAGATCCAGTTAGGCCACGCCCATTTGGATTCCACCCATATATGGACCCATTTAAGCCACGCCCACACCTGGATCCACTTTGGTCTCACCCAATCCCAATTAGGCCAGGCCCATTTGGACTCTGCCCATATATGGATGGATTTAAACCACGCCCACCAAGGACACACCCACAACCCACCTGACACTCCCCCTTTAGGCCACACCCACTGCCATTTAACCCATGCCCATGTATTAAAGCCACACCCACTTAGGCCACGCCTCCCACATTTATACCCCCTTTAGGCCACGCCCATTTTGGCCACATCCTGTTAGGCCACGCCCAGTTAGGCCCCACCCAACCTGGAACCATTTAGGCCACGCCCAGACTCTTAAGACCACTCCCTCCCCTCCCAGTTACCTCCCAGTTCATTCCCAGTCCCTCCCAATCCATCCCCAGTATAACCCTGTCCATCCCAGTATAAACCAGTATAAACCAGTATAAACCAGTATGGACTGTCCCAGCCCCCTCCCAGCCCAAACCAGAGCTCCCAGTTCCACCTGGCTGCTGTCCTTGACGGACATCTTGGATTGCATTATGGGCCGCCATTTTGAATTGCTAGCTCACTTAGCACTATAAGCCAGTATAAACCAGTATGGACTGTCCCAGCCCCCTCCCAGCCCAAACCAGTGCTCCCAGTCCCACCTTGTTGCTGTCCTTGGCGGCCATCTTGAATAACTCACTTGGCAGCCATCTTGGATTACATTATTTGGCTGCCATTTTGAATTGCTAGCTCACTTAGCACTATAAGCCAGTATAAACCAGTATGGACTGTCCCAATCCCCTCCCAGTCCCCTCCCAGTCCAAACCAGTGCTCCCAGTCCCAACTGGTTGCTGTCCTTGGTGGCCATCTTGAATAACTCACTTGGCAGCCATCTTGGATTACATTATTTGGCTGCCATTTTGAATTGCTAGCTCACTTAGCACTATAATCCAGTATAAACCAGTATGGACCAGTATGGACTGTCCCAATCCCCTCCCAGTCCCCTCCCAGTCCAAACCAGTGCTCCCAGTCCCACCTTGTTGCTGTCCTTGGCGGCCATCTTGAATAACTCACTTGGCGGCCATCTTGGATTACATCATTTGGCTGCCATCTTGAATTGTTACCTCATTTAGCGCTATAACCCAGTATAACCCAGTATAACCCAGTCCAAACCAGTCCAAACCAGTCCAAACCAGTCCAAACCAGCATCCCCCAGTCCAAACCAGTACCCCCCAGTCCAAACCAGTAAGTCTCACCCCGGCTCTCATGTAGATGGGCACGAACACCCAGCCCAGCAGCAGCACGATGAACATGCCCTGGGGAGGGGGAAGGGGGAGGGGCGTGTCACGATAGGGGCGGGGCCACATCCCGATTGGGTGGGCGGGGCCAAGGCTGGGTGGGGGGAAGGCGATATCGCCACAGAACCACAGGGGGGGCGTTGTTACATCGCGACAAAACCATCGGGGCGTTGTTATATCGCGACAGAACCAGCAGGGGGCACTGTCGGGGACCCCGATATCGTGACAGGAACACCACTGGGGGGCGATATACCGCGATATACCACGATATACCGCGATATACCACGATACACAGTGATATACCACGATATACCACGATATACCACGATACACAGCGATATATCGCGATATGAAGCAGCCTATCGTGACGTATCGTGAGATATCGCGAGATATCGCGACTCACGCTCCACTCGAAGCCTCCCACGGCGATGCCGCCGGCCGCGCCCGTCCCCGCCAGCCCCACGAAGTGCCCGGAGCCGATGTTGCTGGCAAAGAGAGACGCCCCCACCTGGGGGGGGGAGGGGAGGGGACGGAGTGACCCCGGAGTGACCCCGGAGTGACCCCTCCATTCCCAGTATAAACCAGTTCAAACCAGTTCAAACCAGTATAAACCAGTATAAAACCAGTTCAAACCAGTATAAACCAGTATAAAACCAGTTCAAACCAGTATAAACTAGCTCAAACCAGTATAAACCAATATAAACTGGTTCAAACCAGTATAAACCAGTAAAAAACCAGTATAAACTAGCTCAAACCAGTATAAACCAGTACAAAACCAGTTGAAACCATTATAAACTGGTTCAAACCAGTAAAAACCTAGTACAAAACCAGTTCAAACCAGTATAAACTAGCTCAAACCAGTATAAACCAGTACAAAACCAGTTGAAACCAGTATAAACCAGTATAAAACCAGTTCAAACCAGTCTAAACCAGTACAAAACCAGCTCAAACCAGTATAAACTGGTTCAAACCAGTAGAAACCAGTACAAAACCAGTTCAAACCAGTCTAAACCAGTATAAAACCAGCTCAAACCAGTACAAAACCAGTTCAAACCATTATAAACTGGTTCAAACCAGTATAAACCAGTAAAAAAACAGTATAAAACGAGTTCAAACGAGTTCAAACCAGTATAAACCAGTATAAAACCAGTTCAAACCAGTCTAAACCAATACCTCTCACTCCCTCCTAGCCCCTCCCACTATAAACCAGTATAAACCAGTTCAAACCAGTCCCTCTCAATCCCTCCCAGTACAAACCAGTACAAACCAGTACAAACCAGTTTGGACACTCACCGGAGCCCAGGTCATGCTGCGTCCGGCCAGGAAATACCCGGAGAGGCTCCGCCCACCTCGCCTGCGCAGGGACTGGGACCAGTACAAACCAGTATAAACCAGTATGGACCAAATCGGACCAGTATAAACCAGTATGGACCAGTATAAACCAGAATGGAACCTCCCAGTCCCACCCGGCTGCTGGCCTTGGCAGCCATTTTGGATAACTCACTTGGCGGCCATCTTGGATTGCATTATTTGGCCGCCATCTTGGATTGCTACCTCATTTAGCACTATAAACCAGTATAAACCAGTATAAACCAGTATGGATCGGAATGGACTGTACCAGTCCCCTCCCAGTCCAAACCAGTGCTCCCAGTCCCACCCACCTGCTGGCCTTGGCAGCCATCTTGGATTGCATTATTTGGCCACCATCTTGGATTGCTACTTCACTTAGCACTATAAACCAGTATAAACCAGTATAAACCAGTATAACCCAGTATGGACTATCCCAGTCCCCTCCCAGTCCAAACCAGTGCTCCCAATCCCATCTGGCTGCTGTCCTTGGCAGCCATCTTGAATAACTCACTTGGTGGCCATCTTGGATTGCATTACTGGCCACCATCTTGAATTGCTAGCTTGCTTAGCACTATAATCCAGTATAAACCAGTATAAACCAGTATAACCCAGTATGGACTATCCCAGTCCCCTCCCAGTCCAAACCAGTGCTCCCAGTCCCACCCACCTGCTGGCCTTGGCAGCCATCTTGGATTGCATTATTTGGCCACCATCTTGGATTGCTACTTCACTTAGCACTATAAACCAGTATAAACCAGTATAAACCAGTATAACCCAGTATGGACTATCCCAGTCCCCTCCCAGTCCAAACCAGTGCTCCCAGTTCCACCCGGCTGCTGTCCTTGGCAGCCATCTTGAATAACTCACTTGGTGGCCATCTTGGATTGCATTACTGGCCGCCATATTGAATTGCTAGCTCACTTAGCACTATAAACCAGTATAAACCAGTATAAACCAGTGAAACCCAGTATGGACTATCCCAGTCCCCTCCCAGTCCAAACCAGTGCTCCCAGTCCCACCCAGCTGCTGTCGTTGGCAGCCATCTTGAATAACTCACTTGGTGGCCATCTTGGATTGCATTACTGGCCGCCATATTGAATTGCTAGCTCACTTAGCACTATAAACCAGTATAAACCAGTATAAACCAGTATAAACCAGTATAAACCAGTATAAACCAGTATAAACCAGTATAAACCAGTATAAACCAGTATAAACCAGTATAAACCAGTATGGACTGTCCCAATCCAAACCAATCCAAACCAGTGCTCCCAATCCCACCAGAATTTTAGGGGATTTTTGGGTGGATTTTTTTGGGTGAATTTTCGGGGTGAATTTTCGGGATTTTGGAATTTTTTAGGTGGATTTTTTGGGGTGAATTTCCAAGATTTTGGGATTTTTAGCTTCATTTTTTGGGGTGAATTTTCGGGGTGAATTTTCGGGATTTTGGAATTTTTTAGGTGGATATTTGGGGTGAATTTCCAGGATTTTGGGATTTTTAGAGCGGATTTTTTTAGTTTGGATTTTTGAGGGTGAATTTTTGGGGTGATTTTTTTGGATTTTGGGATGAAGTTTCAGGATTTTCGGGGTTTTTAGGTTGATTTTTTTAAAAGATATTTAGGGTGAATTTTTGGGTTGATTTTCAGGGATTTTGGACTTGGCGGCCATCTTGGATTGCATTATTGGCCGCCATTTTGAATTGCTAGCTCACTTAGCACTATAAACCAGTATAAACCAGTACAAACCAGTATAAACCAGTATAAACCAGTACAGACCAGATTTTTGGGTTGAATTTCCAGGATTTGGGGGTTTTCAGGGTGAATTTTCGGGGGGATTTTCAGGATTTTGGGATTTTTAGCTTCATTTTTTGGGGTGAATTTCCAGAATTTTAGGGGATTTTTGGGTGGATTTTTTGGGGTGAATTTTCGGGGTGAATTTTCGGGATTTTGGAATTTTTTAGGTGGATATTTGGGGTGAATTTCCAGGATTTTGGGATTTTTAGAGCGGATTTTTTTAGTTTGGATTTTTGAGGGTGAATTTTTGGGGTGATTTTTTTGGATTTTGGGATGAAGTTCCAGGATTTTGGGGGTTTTTAGGTTGATTTTTTTAAAAGATATTTAGGGTGAATTTTTGGGTTGATTTTCAGGGATTTTGGATTTTTTTCTGGATTTTTGGGGTGATTTTTCAGGATTTTGGGGATATTTTATGATGGATTTTTTTGGGGGACGTGATTTTCAGGATTTGTGAATTTTCGGGGTTTTTGGGGTGAATCTTTTCAGTTTTGGGGTTTTTAAGGTTTATTTGTTGGGGAATTTTTAGGGTGAATTTTTAGGGTGAATTTCCAGGATTTTGGGATTTTTTTGGTGGATTTTTGGCTTTAATTTCCAGAATTTTGGGAATTTTTTGGGGGGGTTTTTTTTTTTTTTTCCAAAATTTTTGGGAATTTTTTGGGGGGGATATTTTTAGGGTGAATTTCCAGGATTTTGGGATTTTTTTTTGTGCATTTTTGGGTTTAATTTCCAGAATTTTGGGAATTTTTTGGGGGGGATATTTTTAGGGTGATTTTGGGGGTTTTTTGGTTGGATTTTTGGGGTTTTGGGGTTGATTTTCGGGGATTTTTTAGGTTAATTTTTTGGGGGGGATATTTTTAGGGTGAATTTTGGGGGTTTTTTTGGGTTTTTTTCTTTTATTTGGGGGGGTGAAATTCAAGGATTTTAGGGTTTTTAGGGTTGATTTTCTGAAGATTTTTAGGATGAATTTTTGGGTTTATTTCCCAGCATTTTTGGAATTTTTTTCCTGGATTTTTGGGGTGATTTCCCAGGATTTGAAGGATTTTTTTGGCTGTGAATTTTCGGGGTTTTTGGGGAAATTTTGGGGGGAGTTTTAGGGTGGATTTTTGGGGCGAATTTCCAGGATTTGGGGATATTTTAGGGTGGATTTTTGGGGGGTGATTTTCAAGATTTGTGAATTTTTGGGGGGTTTTTGGGGTGATTTTTTTAGGAATTTTTTGAATTTTCAGGTCGATTTTTGGGGGAATTTTGTCGGGTGGATCTTTGGGTTGATTTTCTGGGATTTTGGGATTTTTCGAGTGGAATTTTTAAGGGTGGATTTTTTTTTTAGGGTGAATTTTTGAGTGGATTTCCTGGGTTTTTGGGGTGAAATTCCAGGATTTTGGGGGGTTTCAGGGGTGATTTTTTTGGTGATTTTCAGGGTGAATTTTTGGGTTAATTTTCTGGGATTTTGGGATTTTTCGAGTGGAATTTTTTAGGGTGAATTTTTGGGTGGATTTCCTGGGATTTTGGGTGAAATTCCAGGATTTTGGGGGGTTTAGGGGTGATTTTTAGAAGATTCTTAAGTTGAATTTTTGGGTTGATTTTCCAGCATTTTGGGGATTTTTTTTCCTGGATTTTTGGGGTGATTTTCTGGGATTTTGGGGATTTTTAAAGTCTGAATTTTCAGGGGTTTTGGGGTGATTTTTGTGGGGAATTTTCAGTATTTTCAGGTTGATTTTCAGGGGGATTTTTTAGGGTGAATTTTTGGGTTGATTTTCCAGCATTTTGGGGATTTTTTCCTGGATTTTTGGGGGGATTTTCTGGGATTTTGGGGATTTTAAAGTCTGAATTTTCAGGGATTTTGGGGTGATTTTTGTGGGGAATTTTCAGTATTTTCAGGTTGATTTTCGGGGGGATTTTTTAGGGTGACTTTTTGGGTTGATTTTCTGGGATTTTGGGATTTTTCGAGTGGAATTTTTTAGGGTGGATCTTTTTTAGAGTGAATTTTTGGGTGGATTTCCTGGGATTTTGGGGTGAAATTCCAGGATTTTGGGTGGTTTCAGGGGTGATTTTTTTGGGAGATTTTTAGGGTGAATTTTTTGGGTTGATTTTCTGGGATTTTGGCATTTTTGAGCGGAATTTTTTAGGGTGGATCTTTTTTAGGGTGAATTTTTGAGTGGATTTCCTGGGATTTTGGGGTGAAATTCCAGGATTTTGGGGGGTTTCAGGGGTGATTTTTTTGGTGATTTTCAGGGTGAATTTTTGGGTTAATTTTCTGGGATTTTGGGATTTTTCAAGTGGAATTTTTTAGGGTGAATTTTTGGGTGGAATTCCTGGGTTTTTGGGGTGAAATTCCAGGATTTTGGGGGGTTTCAGGGCTGATTTTTTCTGGAGATTTTCAGGGTGGATTTTTGGGTGGATTTCCTGGGATTTTGGCATTTTTTGAGTGGAATTTTTTAGGGTGGATTTTTTTTTAGGGTGAATTTTTGGGTGGATTTCCTGGGATTTTGGGATGAAATTCCAGGATTTTGGGGGGTTTCAGGGCTGATTTTTTTGGAGATTTTCAGGGTGGATTTTTTGGGTTGATTTTCAGGGATTTTGGGATTTTTTTTGGTTTTTGCTCCTTACCCAGAGCCCCACGGCCATGACGAGCAGGAAGTACCCCCCGATCACCCCCAAATCCCAGGGATCCGCTCCCGGAGCCGCCATCCCCTCCCCCACCCCAGAACCGCCCCTCC